CAAAGCGTACAGAAGTTAGTTCACGCTATGTAACGCCCACATTTTCCAGCCCTCCTTTTTTTTGTTCCTTTTCTTGTTCCTAAGCTCGTTGAAATTTTAGATATCAAACTTCAAACTGTCCCATAGCCTTCAGCCTTCTGTCGCCTTCAAGCCGAACGACATTTTCAGCCGAATTTTGGATAAATTTCACAAAAAAGGTGCAAGACACAGAAGAACACCACCTACACAGAGTTTTCAAGATGTTTGGTAAGAGATACCTTGGAAGTAAATAATGACTAGAAATAACACAATAGAAGCTTTATGGGCTAGTCGGATAATTGTCTATGGGATGGCTTGTTGCGAATCGCTACTCCATGAAATACACTGCGGTCACTTGGTTGTAAATGCTATTGTTGATACAGCAGATGAGTTTATCCCTAGATACAAGTTTTGCATTGCACTAAACTGCTTTCCAATTTTCAAAATGATTCTAGAAATAAGCAGTTTCCCTAGAGATCTTGAAAAGAAATTCATTTGTTTTACATCTATGTTCCCCAATGCTCTTGCCCAATCATAGCAATCTTATAGAAGCTATTACAAGAGTTTCAACATAATTTCTGAGCTTATCTAATCTATTGTAAAGATCAGCCTATGAAAAGGGTAAAATTCCACGTTCACCTCTTGGATTTTATGAAAGTGCGCCTAAGAAATGATTGTCGTGTCCTTTTTAAGGAACAACGGGAGCTTTTTAGTAACAGATATCGTTCTTGATACGCCATTTTTCTTGGAAATTCTGCACCTATCGTGCTTTACAGCAAGAGGATGCACTCTCACGTCATTCTCTCTCAAAATACTCATGAGGAGTTTTAAACACATTGTATTATTGATATCAATGTCCTTGAACATAAAACGCACACAGAATTGAGTATTTCGCCGAAATCCGCAAACAGAATATTTTGTTAAGATGAGAGGGCTTATGATAACAACTGTCTAGAACAACAACGGATAGAATTCTGATAGCTCCAGTCCAGATTCCTCATAACCGAATACCCTTGTATCAAATTTCCAGCCATCCCTGACTGTAATAAAAGTGCATTCCAGTGCACTCAACTACTAACACAATTTCGCGAAGGATCAGCACTTTTTCCAGGATTTTCTGCTGGCTAGCACCTGCTTCACATTATAATAAATCAGTAGGGCATCACAAAATAGTCGTGAAACGTGCAGAGGCGCTCTTTAAAGAACAGATTGGAGTCGGGATGGCTCGAAACTGTTATATCTAGCTATGGGCGAGACACTGCTCTAGGAATCTCTCGAAAGACAAGAGATCAAGATCGCATCTGGTAAAAGTGCTACGAAACTCTTATTGTATTGAGAAAAAAGTACGATAGCCATATAATTCAAGAGCATTGGGAAAGAAATGAGAAAATTAATTTCCGCAAGTGAATCTTTTGAAACAGCTGATTTTGAAAAAAAATGTTCCGAAGAAGTACAGAAGCTGTCAATTGTATTAAGAAGTTGTATATAAGGGTATCCTTAACAGCTGTATCTAAAGAAATTTGAAGCAGCTTAACAAATCCACCCCATGGCCCTACATTGAGTTGAATTGGATGAAATCTATGACAGTAAAACGCAGCATAGGTGCAATCTTGCTTCACAAATTGGGCCAAACCTAGGGGAATTCCTCGCAGTAATTATTGCATGCAGTTATCATACCTACTAACGTTTAGGAAAAACAACGATTTCACATGCCAAATTGCAGTCGTACCTTTGTATAATCTCCGTTCATACAGTCCGTGTGGGAAGAAGCAATCCTCCAACCTTTGAGTGTTAATTCTAGAGTGTAGGGTTGACCTAAAGAGGAGCAGCATGGACTGACTGGAACTAAAATGTGCGGGATTGTTGAAACTTGCATATCTTACCCTCTTGCGTTTTCACATTGACGAAAATCAAATCGCTGGTTCTCGGTAGCATTTCTGATACACTGATGTCTTGTACTTCATGTGATAACTCATGGACAGCAGCTATAGCTTCTAACT